GATCCCGTCTAGTTGGAGCGCCAAACAAGCGCTGTTGCGTGCCGGCCGTCGTTTCCCGTGCGGCCTGACCCGGGGGCGGAGTGCATGAGACTAACCAGCCGTATGCACCCGCCCCCCGCGCTGTGCTTCGGCCCTGGGCCCCCGGCTTTTCAGCCCACAGTGTAATCAACGTCATACATACATACATACATACATACATACATACATACATACATACATACATACATACATACATACATACATACATACATACATACATACATACATACATACATACATACATACATACATACATACATACATACATACATACATACATACATACATACATACATACATACATACATACATACATACATACATACATACATACATACGTACGTACGTACGTACACACCTGCCCAAAATCCAGTAGGGCTACTTGGAGGTCATCTGTGTCCGAGGGGGGAGTGGGGGCGGGTCCTGGGGGCCAGTGTTGGCAAGAGAGGGAGGAGGAGGGGGAGGCGAACATGGCGGCAGATGCCGGGGAGCCCGCGGCCCCCACCGCCGCTATGGAGCGCCTTCGCCGCATGGCCAGCACGTTGCCCGGGTGCCTGCAACCCAAACCCGGAGGGCGAGGCGGTCGGGAGTTACGAGACGTCAACTGAAACGGTTGCGAGTTGGAAATGGGCGTGGTTGCAGCCAGAGGTCGGCAAATCGGTTTCTATGGCTGCGGGAGGGCATAATTTCGGTTAATAAACCCTAATAAGGTTTTTTTGGGTGCCTTCCTTCTTTACAAAGTTAAACACAGCCAGCGCGCGGCCCTACGGGCCGCAATAGAGGCTGCAAGTCACGTCTTTTGGTCAAATTTTGGTCATTCGGGACCCGCAGCCTTATTTCGGCTGCGGGTACTTTGGTACGGACCCGCAGGACCCGCCTTATTTGCCGACCTCTGGTTGCAGCTCGCGAGGAAAAGGACAGCACAAGAAAGCCGCAGCCCCATTGCCGGATCAATTAATACATAACTTAATATACAACTTAACTCAAAAGCGAGGTTTGAGGGCCATTACATACGGTTGTTTTTGCAGAAGTAAGTTCCGGGATCCTTCAGAATGTTGTTTTTTGGGGGGGGGGGGAAATTGGGGAGGGTACCGGGAAGGGAAGGAAGCGCCAGCAGATAAAACACACACGGCACGCCTGCGTCATTGCCCCCGCTCCTTTCCCCCCTTCCCCCCAATAAGGGGCCCGGCATCACGGGAAGCAGTGCAATGGCAGTGGCAGAACTCTAATCTAAGCAGCAGCAGTAGCAGGGGCGCGACCAAAGAAAAGCGGCATTGTCGTTCGTACTGCTTACGGGTCGCTATGGAAGAGGCCGTCTTGCAGGATCATGACGCCGTACGCCAGGATGAGTGATGTCATCAATCCGTGCCGTACAGCCTGCATGATGCAGCAGCGGCGGTCGAGGCGGTGAGGTGGCGAGAGGCAGTAATAGCCGATAAAGAGCAACTCCTCAACTACCCTTTTTCCCCGTCCTCCTCCCCATCCTCCCTTCTTCCCCTCCCTCTCCCCCTCCCCTTTACCCCCAATCCGACCGCTGCCCGCACCCTTACCCCCCCCAGCAGCACCAATATCACCTCCACAAAACCCTAAACCCTCTCACCCTCTCCAGTCGTCTCTTTGCAGAACTTGTGCATAGAGCTCCCTCCCTTTTTCCTCATGTACCCCTCCCCTTTCCAACATACATGCCCTTATGTCCTCTTCCCCTTTCACCCCCGTCCCCCCCTTTTTCAATCTTCCTCGATTCGGCATATCCCTCCCCTCCCCTCCCCTCCCCTCAC